AGTACTAGAGTGGGGAGGCATCATCGTTGTTTGACAGATTATCCTGGAACTTAGCAGGTTCCCCAGAAGAGCAGAATCAAGAGTGTGTATATCATGTAGATGCATGCTTGTATACGTATATACACATACCTATGCACATATACATCTATAGGTCTATTTATCGAGAGAGAGAGAGAGATGTATTATAAGGAGTTAGCTCATGCTATTATGGAAGCTGGCAGGTCCAAAATCTTCAGAGCATGCCAGCAGGCTGGAGATCCAGAGAAGAGTTATGTTTCAGCTCAAGTCCAAAGGCAGTCCGCAAGCGGAACTCCCTCTTCATTGGAATACTTCAGTCTGTTTTCTTTTAAGGTCTTCAGCTGGTTGGAGAGTAACCTTCATATTATGGAGGGTAATCTGCTTTATTCAATGTCCACTTATTTAAATGTTAATTTTATCTAAAAAATACCTTCGCAGCAACATCCAGATTGATGTTTGGACCGAACATCTGAATACCGCGGCCTGCCCAAGTTGACACATAATGTTAACCATCACAATTAGGAATCGGGGCATGGCTTAGGGGAATCTTCCAGCTCACAGTTTCTCACAATCTTTAGTCAAGGTGTTGGGCCACCCAACAGTCATCCCACCTGGGGCAGGATCTACGGACACCCTACTCAACTGGGGGAGGATCCATTTCCAAGCTTACTCAGTGGCTGGCAGGTTTCAGTTCCTCCCATGTTGGACTGAGGGCCTTAGCAGTTCTTTGCTCGTCATCAGCTGGAAACTTCCCTCGGTTCCTTACCAAATGGGTTACTCTACTGGGCAGTTCACGATGAAGCAGCTGCTGTCATCAGAGTCAGAGCACGAGAGAGATGTCACTTTCCATCCCCTTTGCCATATTCTGTTCACTAGAAGTCACTAAATCCAGCCCACACTCAAGGTGGGGAGGACAAAGAGATTACACAAGGGTGTGATGATACTAGCAGAGAGTCAAGCAAGAGAATCAATGGGAGATCTTTCTAGTTTAAAATATTTTAAGTCTATAATGAGAAGCCAGGAGAGGGATAAAATATTGTTGTGGCCTCGGGAGAGTCACTGAAGGGGAGGCCTCTAGTGTGCTGTGAAAGATGGGTTCGTATGCAGAAGAGGAGACGGCAGAGGAGGATAATCTGCCTGTTAAGTTTCTTGGAAGGGGATATAAGTAGGATGTCAGAAATTATAAGAAGGGCCTACGAATAAGTATGGTTCTTAACAAGTGACGTACATCTGATCTGAATCACCTGTGGAGCATTTTTTAAAATGCCTATGGTGACACCATTCACGTGCTGATTCCAGTTCAGTAGACTTGGCTGATTGGGACGTACCCCTAGGTGAGATTCACTGTAATATAACAAACAAACCATTTCTATTTGACCCAAGGGTTTAGGTCAGAAACAGCCTGTTTTAAAGTTAGAGAGGATGGTGGGAACATCTCTTCTTAACGAGGAGCTTAGATCTGATGCTTGAGAAAATAGGAAACCATTGTAGGTTCTTCAGTAGTGGATATACATAATTAGAATTGGGTTTTATTTCACTTCTGCAGTCATTCATTTGTTTTCTTCTCCAGATATTTGTTTATCACCACCATAGACCAGTCAGAGAGGATGACTCATCTGTTGACTATTTTCAGGATGAGCTACAAGAAGGAAAACCAGCTAGAAGCTTATGGTAGTGCGTGAAGTATAACATCGTGAGTTGGATGAGTGGGAAGATAAGTTGGTGGGATTTCCTAATTCAGTGGAAGGGATAAGGAAGGGTGAACAGGGAAGGACGCTACTAGGTGTTTTGCGGATTCACTCTCCTCACGCAGACCTTCCAGGGCCAGGAAGCAGGGAGGATGGGGGAGAATTCAAGCCTTACGTGCTTTTAGTTCTTCTGTTTAGTACGATATCATATGGGTCCGGCAAGGACAAAGTAGGATGGCTCAGTATGTCCCCTAAAAAGGGACTTCAGAGGGACTGCATTTTAAATCCATAAATGATGCGATTCTTGCTAAGCTTCTTTTGAATTGAATAAAGTCCGGAATATGAAGGAAACGGGAATGTTCATTAACAGGATAAGACAACATCTCGAAATGAATGATGCAAAATCAAATAGAGTCTTTGTTTTCACTGCTTCTAGAAAATCAAAAGTCACGGTCCTTCTGTGGCTCTGTGCTTATAACAATACAGTCCATCTTTTCATTATACTTTCCAGAATAAAAGGTTCCTCTGCACAGCGACAGGCGTGTTTTCCTGAACAATGCCCTGTAAAGGTCACATTGGAGATTTGAGTCACAAGCCCTATGATTTAAATTTGAAGCTAAGTTTAAAAATCGTATGTCTAGAGCTTGCCAAGTTCCATTAAAAGCCATAGTGTCATTTTGGATTACAGTTGAACAAAACAGGGTTCACTGAGATATTATATCTTTGTTCGTAGCGATGCCTATATTTTCTTCTTTGCATCATTCCCTGGCTGTGTTGTTATGGTAGATATCTACTTTCACACCAAATCCTGGGAAATAATGTCTAATTTCATGGGCCTATTTTTTTCCCTAAAGTAGCTCATTTCCTAGCTTTTCAATTATCTTCAGAGGATTTCTATAAAAGCCTAATCATTCGTGCGTGTTTAGTTACGGTTGATCTTGAATGCTACCTTTCCCACTGCAGCCTTGCTGATTCCCTTCATCCCCTACAGAGAGGATCTCCAACTTCCTAAAGCTCTGGAGCGCTTTTTGCCTCACTGACATCATGCCGGTCTGTTATCTGGCAGTACAGTCGTATTACTTCTCCCTAACATTCGATGGGTTCTTAACTCTGTGCCGGTCATTTTGCCTAACACTTTATATAGGTTATCGTATAACCTGTGTTCATGCTCACAACAGCCTGCGCGGGAATTGCATCATTTCTGCATTTTGCAGATGAGAAAGCTGAGGGTAAAGGGTTAAATACCTTGCCCCAGGTCGCACAGCTAGTAAGTAATGAAACAGGAACAACCTTAGGTAGTCTGGTCCAGACCCCGTTCTTTCAAACACTTATTCCTATGCCCTTCTTATAATTTCTGACATCCTACTTATGTCCCCTTCCAGGAAAGTTAACAGGCTTGAGAGGACTGTCTTGCTCATTTCAATATTCTTGGAGTTTTCTGACTTATTGATCACCTCATAAATAAATGGAGCAATCAATAGTGGCTGAGTGAATACTTGAAAATTGCCCCTGGGATTTTATGGGAAACAGGTTCTGCAGCTTTAGGCAGAGAACCTGAAACTTTGCTTCTGAGTGATGTGAAGAAAACAGAACGCTAGTATATGAGGTCTTAAGAAGAGTTTCTATTTATTTTCATTCCTGTCATTTAGGTTAGATCCCGTGGTCCAAATACTTTCCCCCCCTGCTCTTTGTCAAGCCCTTCTTCCTTCTTTTATGCAAAGATAAACTGGCTCTGTTTGGCTCTGTTCTTTTTTCTTTTTTCCCCCGATGTAACAATCCCAGGTTCCAGTCCTACAGAACTCTGAAAATGCTATCAATCGTCTTTTCCCTATTTCTTTATCCATGACTTAAGCTTTTGTTGCCAAAAATAAAAATAAAAATAAAACAAAAACTTGTTAAAGTTATGTGTGACCTTCTCGCTCCGTCATTCTCAAAGCTTTTCTGAGGAGCTCCCCAAACGCGGTGTGGACATGAGCTAAAAGTCCCAATACTCGGAAGTCGGTGGCATAAAAAGCTGGAACTTCGAGGGAGATTTTGAAATTGTTATTGGTGGGCAGTGACCCCGAAACACCGTGTAAGAGGGGATGCTGGGCCAGCCAGTGGGCGGTGGGGGTAGGCCGAGGGGCTGTGTTGGCACTAGAGAGACTGGAAACATGTAGACATTTGACTAAAATTGAGAATGGAAATCTAGATGGTGCCCTGCCCAGCCCTCCCGGTCACCTTCAGCCATTAAGATGGATATAGCCATGAGGAGACACAGGAATACCACTCAGAGATACCACAGAAGGTGTGGCTTCCATTCCCATCTGTAGCAAGAAAACCCAAGATCAAAGATGGGAGAAAGGCTGCCCTGCTTACAACTGGGAGTCTGTATTTCCTGTGACTCAATTAAGACGGTACCATACATAAAACTAAAGCAAATTAGGAAAGAAAATGTCCTAAATTTAATGATATTTGAATTAATTTAATAAATTGCTGCATTGTCTGTTCTCTTGTCAATTCTGTTTGTGAAATATTTTTCTAGGGGCAGCTGGGTGGTTCAGTCGGTTGTTCGGCATGCAACTTCGGCTCAGGTCATGAACTCGTGGTTCACGAGTTCAAGCCCTGGGTTGGACTCTGTGCTGACAGCTCAGAGCCCGGAGCCTGCTTTGGATTCTGTGTCTCCCCCTTTCTGCCCCTCCCCTGCTCATGCTCTCTCTCTCTCTCTCTCTCTCTCTCTCTCTCTCTCTCTCTCTCAAAAATAAATAAACATTATAAAAATTTTTAAAAATATATTTTCTAAATCACATAGGCCACAGAGTCAAATGAGGAAAAGAGTGAGCCATGAAGCCTTTGGACTTTTACAGACCTGGGTTCTAAGCCTGGCATCAGGAGTCTGTGCTTTAGTTTTCTCATCCGTAAAATGGAGCCAGTTCTCTCTCAGTTGCAGGCCTGTGGTTCAAATTAAAGAGCCCGTATGTATGCAGGCCCTTGCTGTGCTGGTCGGAATCCCTTAAATACCAGTGTTGCTGCCTCTGTCCTCATACCCCATGTACAGTTCTTCAATCCTAGCCTGCTTAGATAATGAGAAAAATAAGAGTAAAATACTCCCGGTTTTTAGAAGTTTTCAGATACAGAGCTGAGAGCTTACTTTCCTACCCTGCCATTTACAAATAAGATTTGGGGGACGCAAGATTACAGAAATTCCTACCATTATATTAATAATAGCAATTGATGCTAATACAATGATGGCTGGGACTGGCAGTAATAGCACTCGGATACTTCCTAATAGTGCGCTTTTTTCTTTCCTTCCAGAAGCACCTGGCATGTCAAAGCCACACTGTCTTCCATGGGACTCCCTTTGTGAACAGCTTCCATTTAAAAGACTTTTGTGAGTGCGTTATTTCAACCAAGTCCTCAGAGAACCTATTTGTCTTCTGATCCTCCGGAGGTCTTAAGGTTTGTGTTCATTTTTTTTCTAATTTCTCTTAGTGAAGATATTAATTTTGAGGGATATTTTTAAAAGGGATAATAGTCCTACCCCATTGTAATAAGAACTCTGAAGTAGAATATGCACAGACTGTAATCCCTTGATTTCACCGGGAGACAGATAAAAGAAATGAAAAGAAATTTGATATGCTACTTCTCATACTTATTATTGTATACTCTGTAGAATGTTACAAGGATATTAGAAATAAAATATCCCCCACTTGGGCTTGAAACAAATTTTATTTTTGGGTTCTATAAATTCTAACGGAATAGATTTAATAAATTTATAGTGAATGTCTATATATATCAGATTTTGTTAAGTGCTATCAATTAGTTAGAGGCCTTGTGGATGCATTCTGTTTTGAAACACTAAAAATCAAAACCTCATCTGTCAATATCAACTAGTATGATTATTATGACAGCTTTTAAATTCTAAAGCCTCAGCGACCAGAGAGTTTTCATGTAGCTCTACCAAGGGGTACTCACCCTCTGATTTACAATGATAGAACAGGGCTGTTGTTGTCTTTTAATACGTGTATATTAACCGCTTGAAAAATTGCGAACAATATTGTTGTTTACTCAATAAAAAAAAGCTTGCTGCAAAGCAAGCGTTTTATTTTGGAAGTACATGTTTTGCTGTTGAGATAGTGCCAAGTAAAACACTTTTATTTTGAAAGTACTTTCCAACAAAGACCTACCCGAAGGCTGAATTCAATCCATGCATCTTTCATAGGTGGAAAAATAAACAGGGGAGAGGGTAAAGCTTGGTACATTGAGTGGACAAAAACTCAATGAAGAGCAAGGGAGAAGGAACAGAGTACTTTCCCTAGAACGACACGTCTTTTTCCACAGGCATTTACTTCATTCGGTTGGACTTTTATTCTGTCCAAGGTGACAAATGTTTTCTCCCCTAATGGCCCTTTCCTGTGGGTTTTCTTTTTTATTTCTTTTATTTCTACTGAGAAACCAAAGTAGATTTCACTGCAGTGCTGGTACATTCCCGTTTTCCCTCTGCACCCTTCTTTGGTGGGCCTCATGACTGACGCACTTTGAAGTGTGAGGCACGCAGGACGTACTGGGGGGAGAGGGGTGGGAAGTTGTGCCCCCATCTTCAACTTTCCAGTCTGTCAATTTGGTAGCAAATCATAGTGTGTAGAAACCTAATAAGTGTAGCCATAGAAACGGAAGTGCTAGAAAGGACTTCAGAAGTTACCTAAATGTTCTCCCCTCATCTGTAAGCAAGACCCCGCTTGAGCTGTCTGAAACTAATGAGAATCTATTTGCCTTCAAACCTAGGAATCCACTTTCCTTTTTAAACCTAATATAGATTTTCCTTCCTTAGAAACCTTGTTGTCACGAAACCCAAGGTAATTCCGGATGTCCTAGCATGATGGTGCATTCCTTCTTCCCTGGAGGGAGAGAACTTACTGGTCAGAGCCCCCTGCATCCTCACAGATTCAGTTGCCAAGTGATCCTTTTTCTCTTCAGGAGAAATGAACCCACTTTGTTGAACTTCTTCTATGAAATTGTATAATCCGGAAATTTGCGTAGCCTCACGGTTCTTTTCTGAGTGTCTAAAGATCTCTACGCTCTGCTTAGGTTTAAGAGTCCAGACTGATTGAAGGAGCATTAAAAAGCATCTATCAGTGTTTGTCAGTGGGGCCATTATTGACATTTCGAGGTGGGGGTAGTTCTTGATGATGCCAGATTATCCCATGCGTTCTAGAATGGTTAAACAGCCCTGGTTTCCTGGGACCAACGACCAGTAGCTCCCTTAGCACCCAGTCACCGTGACAACCAGATTCAGCCGTCCTTCACATGTGCCCGCAGAGAGGATGGGGACTGCCCAGACTCCAAGCTCCTCACCTGCAATTGAGGATGCTGAAACTCGCAGAGTTGGGTAAAGGGTGGGGAACCCAACTTTTAGCACCGGGAGCACTCTCTTCCCTCGCCATCACGCTTCTCTTCTGGGCTTACATTTATTTCTCGGCAGTCCAGAAAGACAGTAACGTGCAGTTATGAATTCTCTTTCGGAAGACCAGAGTTTCTGGCTTGGTGTGTTAAAGGAAATCACTGGTATTTGATACAGGAACGTGGATGTGGGAAAGGTAATAACGGAACTCAGTGCGGGAAAATAGCAAAGAGAGGACAGTTCTGAGGGTTTAGGGAAAACACAGAACCTGGACCCCAGAGTATTAGCAGGGTTGATGTTACAAAGGTATTATTAGCTCGGTCACTGAGAAAGGAGTGAAAGGAGGGAAGACTGAAAACAGGTAAATAACAAAGGACTATTTCTTCACTGCCTTTTCACCATGTGCCCTACTTTCAACTCCCTACTCTATGTCACGGGCTTCCTCAGAAATTCGAGGATCCGTTTTGGGGGAGCTTAAAGGGCCCTTGATTACAGCTGAAGCTCTCTCTCCCTTCAATCCAATATCCCTTGCCTCACCTACCCTCCGCCAGCATTTCTGTCTCCTCCCTCACTTGCTTATTGGTGGCCCCTACTTCATTCTTCAAGCAGAGAATGGGGAAATGACTTGATGACGTTTATCTTTCTGGATCCTTCCAAGGTCCCAAGGAAAGTTGTAAACTGAAAGAACGTAAAAACAATGGAGCTCTGGGACATTTCTCCCACAGAAGGTTGCTAAGGCTCTGATTTTTTTGAGACATTTACCAAAATACAGGTACTTTTCCAAAGAAAAATTCTCACTCCCTCCTATTTTTTCTTTTTTGATTTAATGCTAAGAAGTAATTGAATTTAAAGAGGTTCCTTATTAACAAAATTAGAAGAATTCATGACTTAAAGACACAATGCCAGCCAAGTAGGAATATCTGGATTGTTATAATAGATTATACGTAATACCTGCCTTAATGTCTACAAAATAACACGCGATAAGTACAGAGATGAAAATAGGGGGCGCCTGGGTGGCGCAGTCGGTTAAGCGTCCGACTTCAGCCAGGTCACGATCTCGCGGTCCGTGAGTTCGAGCCCCGCGTCGGGCTCTGGGCTGATGGCTCAGAGCCTGGACCCTGTTTCTGATTCTGTGTCTCCCTCTCTCTCTCTGCCCCTCCCCCGTTCATGCTCTGTCTCTCTCTGTCCCCAAAAAAATAAATAAACGTTAAAAAAAAATTTTTTTAAAGAAAATAGGGCCTGGGCTAGAGAACTCTGGTTTCTAGTAAAATGAGGAATCCTACATGATAAAATGTATCGTTTATAAAAAGACTTACATGCATGAAGAGAGAAATAACATCTGAGGCTTCCCTTATCTTGTGTTATTTAATTATTTAACGCTTTATGACTGAGCTCCTCAGCCAGGTTTTTTTAAACATGGTGATTTTCCTGTTCTGTCTTCTTTTGTGCACAAGACACCAAGTTATATTTGACTTCTCAGTTTCTCATTTCCTGAAATGCACTACTAGCTCTATAAACATGGAAGAATAAATATTAGCTTTATGAGACCGTGTTCCTCTAGTAGCTGAAAAATAGCATATAATAAAAAATACAAGGATGTAATATTGAAAATTATAGGTCAATATGCCCGCTTATTGTGGGTATATATCTAATCCTCCTGCGTGGAGACTACTTTTTTCAGAAAAATGTGTGCTGTGTAATACCACTCGTGTCTGTGATATATTTTCACCCCTCATATTTAACAATATATCTCACGACTGTTGCCTCACGAGTGAAACATTTCAGGCTTATTTACCACTATGATTTAAAACAAAAACAAAAACAAAAACCTCTCTGGCTCTTTGCTATTAATTCTAATAATTGCAAGTGATCCAAAGTTAATAAAATGTTTGTAAGTTTCCGTCCCACTCCAGTACTTCAGTACCCGTGAGCTCCTTGGAATTACGTTAGAAAATGCTTAATGGCAGTTTCGGAGAAAAAGAAAGAAAGAAAGAAAGAAAGAAAGAAAGAAAGAAAGAAAGAAA